GGGGGGGGGGGGGGGGGGGGGGGGGGGGGGGGGGGGGGGGGGGGGGGGGGGGGGGGGGGGGCGGTAAGCATTGAGCCCCGCAGTTCACTGCTGTTAGCCAAGTTCATGTGCTTTCGAGCTGGGGTCCACTGTGTTTAAACCGTGATCTTTCTTGACATTGCGTCATGAGTGCTCTTTGCTCGATAAATAAACTGCCAACGTTGTGTGATACAGATTGGTATGCTGAAGATAATCCGTTAGGATGCGATTGCTGATGTCGAATCCACGGCGCGACGTGAATGGTGTTCGGTTTTGGGGGCTGAAGCTACTGTGAATATGAGAGGTCCCTCGACCGATCGTAAGATATGATTGCAGCCGCTACACCTCACGTACGAGGTCGTGTCACAGCATCTCCTCACGCACAGATAAACGCTGAGCGCAAACTAGTCAGGCTGCCGCTAGTCCATATTATGTGTAATAAGCACTCGAGACGTTCTCCATTCTGAACGGTCTAACGCCTCCCATGAACCACACCCAATTAAAATTACAAGACCGTTCCTCGAAAAAATCGTTTTCCTCAAACCCTTGTTTTACCTTGTAGATGGTGTTGAGATTATCGGACACGAGGTTGTACGCCTGCATGAAGGTGTCGTACCTGGATCACGGGACAAAAAAATAAGATGACAAACGCGTCAGCGGCGACTGCTGTGTCCAGATTGTTATGCGACACAAGCAAAGGTCGTTGCACCACGTACTCGACCCTTGGTGCATGTCACGGCTGAGCAAAGTCATGCAGTAACCCATTGTTGCCGCCCCGTGCAGTGTGGCTTTGGTCACCACTTCACTGGGTCCAATGGTGAGTTGTGCGCCTGCGTGCGCGCTTCCCCTTCCGGCTTCTCCCTCTTCCCAACGCGTCAGACACAACGGCGCGAATTTCTGAGATATGATAGGACTCTGGGTTGAGAGAAGCACTCTAAGCCCAAAAGAGCCCGATGTAAAGATCAAAGAGGCCTTCCGCCTCATAGGCTTAAAAACAAGCCCTCCATGGGCGGCATGGATATTAGTGTTTGCTGCCTTCAAGACAGTAAAACCATAATGTACACTGTACAGAGCATGCATTGGAGGCCGAATTTTCACTTCACTTCCACGAACATTTCGCTTCAAGGAACAATAATAAAGAAGAAAAACATAGAAACAAACAACATCCTGGCATGTATCGCCGCGCGAAACTTCCATCCCAAGCGTCTGCATGGTGCTGGGCACTGCAGCACAACAACTACTGTCCTCAAGCACGTTGGACTGACACGGCAGTTGGTAAGCACACTCGATTATTTCTTCTTCCTCACCTCAGCTGTTTGACCTCGTTGAACTTGAGCACTGCGCCCGCCGCGTTCTGCTTGGACTGCTCGAACGTTTGCCCCGAGGCCTTGAGGCGGTCGCTCACGTCGCCGAATCTCTCCACAGCCTGACAGAGACCCCCGCAAGCATGATCAGAATGGGGGGGGTGGGGGGCGACATGGTTCATGAACCACTGTGCGCGTGTTGGCCTTTCAAACACTGCTTGCTGTGAACCAGACCAATTCGAAAATGGATTCATCATTGTTCCTCCGCCATGTGACCCATGGGCGGCATTTTTCATACACAGATCGTGGCACCTCTTGAAACTCAGGCGCCGATGCCAACGGCAGAAGATGGTACAGAAATGAAACTTCCAGGTCATCGCAACTAGGCATCACTTGACGTAGACTTCTTCAAATTATCCGGCAAAAGAGTCACCAAGCTCTACAGCACACCTCAGCGGATGGCGGGGAAATGGCCAAGAGCGGGCAGCCCTGGTAGAAACAAGCTGCTAACATGAGGTGCATCATCTATTTGGGTTGCACTCTATGAAAAGAAAGCTCACCCTCATGTTGGGGGTCATCTGGTTGATCTGGGCCTGCAGCTCCTGCATCTGTTTCCTGTAGCCAGACACCACCTCCTCCAGACCTTGTGCATCCTTCGCTCCCCGGTGTTTCTTCAGTTTGGACAGGTCCACCTTGCGTTATCGTCAAGCAAACAAACAAACAGCGACACACAGAGAGTGAGAGGGAGAGGGAGAGGGAGAGGGAGAGGGAGAGGGAGAGGGAGCGAGAGAGCAAAGAGAGGGAGAGAGAGAGTAACCGTGCCATTGTCGCAGATGTCTGTTACTGAGGCCACTGAGGAGAAACAAGATCACACTGTTCAGTGAATCGAGCGAACAAGGTTATCAGCTCACAGAACCAGCCCAGTTTAACAGATCTGGCACTCTTTACAAAATGACCACCATTGTTGTGGACGTGGTATCCCACACCCGCACCATCACAATCTCCTGCTGTAGCTGTGCATCACCAGACAAGTACCCCGACACACAATATGCGCAATTAACAAAGCGAATCTTCTGAATGCCGAATGGCCAACCACAACCCCTCTTCTGAACGATTTCTTTGGTAGAAAATAGCTCACGTCCAAAGACCCTCCTCTCAAACCTCTTCTGCTATCGCAGTAGCACACCCAAAACAATTACGTCATCTAGCCCATCTCCCGAAAAAGGACCAGCAACACGAACGAGTGGAAGCTCCTGCACACCAATCTTCGTGCATGGTTCCTTAAGTTCAATTGGTTTTAAGATCTATCACATTCTGGAACTTTGGGTTTCGATTCTCGATGCTTTACCCTCTTGCATAAGTCAAAGGGTCCTTTTCCTGTGGCGAACTCAACGATCTGACACCATCTCTGACAAATCACGTCTGTGAAAGCTGAAAACATCTACGCACATACAGCACGAGTTCTAGGCATATATTCCCTGCGATCCAGATCATCTGCACAAACACTACCATAGCCGAGGCAGTCGAGTATATCAGAACATCAGCTCGTGCGTGAGTAGTTGGTTGTTTTGTGCCCGGCATCCTCTTTCGTGTCCAATTTGTTTGAGTATGCCTTTCTTATGTAAGTTAGCTTGGGACCACGGGAATCGCTCGGTGAAGTGCTTGATCAGTACGGACAGAAGAAGGAACAGGGTAGAGAGACCGGAACAGTTTTTGATGTGAAGACAACAACAACAACAACAACAGCCTTGCAGGAAAAACATATTTCTCGTGGACTTCCCCAGGGACATTCGTAGGTGGAATACCATGCCACTAATCGCATGATGGTACAACCCACCTGGAGCGCCTTCTCCCTGTCTTCCTTCACGGAGGCGTTTTGTGCCTGGCTGAAGTGGGCTATGGACGAGCCCTGCGTGCCTGAAACGCCGGACAGGCTCATGCCACTCGCGCCCGAGGACCTCGCTCCTCCTTCTATGCTGCTGTTCTGATCTCGCCGTCCCCAGGTCGAAAAACGCCGTAAGGGAAACAAAAGGGTAACAACCACGATGAGCAAAGAAAACGGGATAAAAACTTGGAACAGAGAAAACGCGAATGGGGGTGGTCGAAACGACAGGGTAGGGCGTCCCCGATCTAAACACTAAAAACTGTTCCGAAGATTTACACGGCGGTACTCCGAGGGTAGGCAACGGCCAGGGTCACCTTCCTTTGGCTAACGCTGTCATTGGTGCACCTGAAGGCAACGCGGTATCCCGGCACCCCGCAAATCGTTTTGACCGCTCGCAGCACGACACTACTCGACATGTCTCAATGCGGGGTCACGAAGTGAGACACCGTGAGCGAAAGACCTACACGGCATTTCGCTGGCATGGGGGCTCTCCGGCCGAGGAGAATATCACAAACGGTACAATATCGGTCGGGGAAAATAAGCACACGTGCCTTCAAGAAACGTTCCACTTGCATTAAGAGCTGGCAACAAACAGGGCCGAGACATGCAGCAAAACACGACCGGTTCAGGCAACACCAACGGTACTTGAGCACCACATCACCACCGCCACCAACACGGACAAGATGGGAACCGCAGTCAACAGACCTCTTCGGAGTGTTTTTCCTCTTCTTCCTCCTCCTCCACCTCGTTCCCGTCTCCCCCCCTACTCCTCTTCCGGCTGCGGGTCTTCTCTCCCTCCCCTCCACCCGCCAACGTGCCGCCTCCCACCAGCGGGAGCGCCACCTGCTCCACACGGGCCTCCTGGAGAACACCGTGGAGCTTGGCACGAAGCTGCTCCAGGGCAGACTCCTCCGACATGATGCGCTTGCTGATGCCGTCCCTCTCCTGCAAACGTTGTTGGGGGGGGGGGGGGCGGCTCGGCAAAAACGGAGGGCGATGTCGACGTCCGTGTGGTTGGAGTGATTTCAGGCGTTGGGAATATGGTCGGCGACGTAGTGCAACCAGCACTGATTGCAGATTGCAGACGGGATAGGCGCCAAAGCGCCAAAGGAATGAGCGGCAACCGAATCACCATCCCTTCGCTTTACCTCTCCCGTGATTGGTGCTTGATTGAGGCCTCGACAGTGTAGCGGCACAACAAAAATGAAAGCCATTCACTTTCAAGCCATCCTCCTGTGTACTTTTTCTCGCTCGCTCACGGATGGGTGGTTTTTTTCTGGCGTCCTGAGGCCCATGTTTATGGTTTCCAAATCTTAATCTTTCTTTCATTCGACAAATGTTGACTTTCTCGACCTTTTGGGCAGTCTGCCTCCCGAACGAGTGCGAATCAGCTGGTCGACCTTTCGAGAATAGTCACAGCTTTGGCTGAGATGCATACAGACCGCCTATTTGTTTCGCCAGGGTCCACGTTTGATTTTTTTCCAGCAGAGCAAGATGTTAAAAATCCGGCCGAAAGGCCACCTCGGAGCAAATCTTGGGCCAAGATCTGTCCAAAAGCTGGTGTTGACAAAAATCTTGCGTGAAAATTGCGCATCTTGAAAAAATCAAACCTGGGCCCTGGCGAAAAATGTAGGCAATCTGTAGTNGCATACAGACCGCCTATTTGTTTCGCCAGGGTCCACGTTTGATTTTTTTCCAGCAGAGCAAGATGTTAAAAATCCGGCCGAAAGGCCACCTCGGAGCAAATCTTGGGCCAAGATCTGTCCAAAAGCTGGTGTTGACAAAAATCTTGCGTGAAAATTGCGCATCTTGAAAAAATCAAACCTGGGCCCTGGCGAAAAATGTAGGCAATCTGTAGTCATCTCAGCCAAAGCTGTGACTGTTTTCAAAGGTCGAACAGCTGATTCGCATTCGTTCGGGAGGCAGACTGCCCACAAGGTCGAAAAAGCCAACATTTGTCCAAAGAAAGGAAGATAAAGATTTGGAAACCATACACATGGGCCTGAGGACCTTAACAACGGTTCCATCGACCAACATACTTCGTGGTTGGTAAATGGATCCACGCAGTGCAGCGAAACATGTAGAGGATCAGACAGAGTTCCAAGAGCACGAAAAAATGCCGTTTCGCGCCTCGCCCCACCCATGCCCCCACCGAACACAAGGTGGCATTGAACATTATTGCCGTGTTTGTTTCAATCTCGAACGGTTTCTCATCCCTGGAGCAATGAAAACGGGTTGGTCCGTGCTTGGGCACCAAGGTGCACTTACGTTTCCCACGAAAGCTCTTCTCGATTGTTCACTGTGTGTCACGCCGTTGTGACTGAGTTGACAAACCTAGTCACCGCTCCGCGTGGCCAACTCTCTTGTCCTCTTCCGCGTACCAACTACCGTACCGTTGCCTCCCAAGACTCAAGAAGCCGTATGCATCGAAAGGGCATTCACCCACCCCTCTTGTCCCTTTCTTGCTCCCTTTCTGTCTGTACTGCACCGTCGAAGCCACATTGTCCTCTGTCTCACAGTCACAGGCTTCAAACATACAACCTCCAAGACACACCTTGACGAGTTTCTGTCTGCCGGAATGAGCTGCCTTGACCTCCTCCTCGTGTCTTCTCGCAACCTCCTTCGCCGCTAGGTGTTCCTTGGCCGCCTCGTCCTCGGCCTCCATGATGCTCTATCATATCGCGAGGGCCGATGTATACACAGCCGGTGTCAGAAGGGGTGACAAACACAGGGGGGCTCTTCAAAATAGAAAAAAAAATTGAGGCTACGTAGCACGTTCAAGCACGAACAGTTGGTGCAAGCGTGGGACGGGGAGGAGGGGGATCAGACCTTCAGTCGCCACGGCATCAAAGTATGAATATGTACAGCGGTGCGAAAAACCAGACGGCATCAGACTGGGACACGACACGGCGAAAGAGTCGGTGTGGGAGCGTCGGTGTGGGGAGGGGGGTGGAGGCTGACGGGAACGTGATCCGCTGTACGTGCGGACAAATGGTGTTGTGAACTCACGGACCCGTTTGCAACTGTACGCGATACGGTCACGTAGTTGGTCCGTAGGCGGTGGCGTTACCCTTCGTGGCGTTGCTTAAGTAGAGTCGGGCCCTGCTTGCGAAGTGGTAACAGAGAGAGCAATGTCAACAAGGAGAACAGGTCACCTATCCTAAGGCACGACGTTCTCTGTCTGTCTGTCTGTCTGTGTCTCTCTCTCTCTGTCTCTCTCTGTCTGTCTGTCTCTCTCTCTCTCTCTCTCTCTCTCTCTCT